TATCTTGCCTACCAATTAAAGCAGACCTTTTCTAAATGTTGAAGTGGTTCATAGAGTGCATGAAGGTAAAAAACGTTCAGTGTGCAGCTGCCCCCTCAACCACCATAATACTTGCCTGAGCCCCATCTCGATCCAGTGCTGTGCCCAAGAGCCTCAGCTCTCCTGGGTCTCTCTCTTCTTGGTGGCTGAGACACAGCAGCGAGAGCCATGGGCTTCTACTGCTGTCAGTCACAGCCAGTAAGGAAGGGGTGGGCCAAGCCATGCTCTGTGTGTCTTATGGGCATACAGATAGAGAGAAAAACAGTTGGCGCCCACACCTAGTGCATTATCCAAGGTGAAATAATAAAAACATACTCACAGACGAAGCATGTATATCTAAAAAGCATAGAAAAATGACAATGGCCACAACGGCGGGCAAGGTGTTCTCACTGTTAGTGCGGTCAAATGGCTGATGCGTTTCGGGGACGAATCCCTTTCCTCAGAGCTGATGACCAACCTCTGATGCTGATGTATGATGTGTGGACAGAAAGAGCCTCGCTGTTGATGCGAGGCTCTTTCTGTCCACACATCATACATCAGCATCAGAGGTTGGTCATCAGCTCTGAGGAAAGGGATTCGTCCCCGAAACGCGTCAGGAATTTTACCGCACTGACAGTGAGAACACCTTGCCTGCCATTGTTGCCATTGTCATTTTTCTATGCTTTTTAGATACATGCTTCGTCTGTGAGTATGTTTTTATGATTTAATTCCTACAATAAACCTTGGATAATGCACTAGGTGTGTGCGCCACCTGTTTTCTCTCTATCCAGTGGCTGATTTCCCCGTCTGAGGAGGGCTGCACCCCTGGAACATTTCCTTTGGTTGTCGCTGTCCTGGTACCCTTGGCTTCCCTTTTGGCTGTGCATATCCTGAGGCGCTGGAGAGTACATACGATATTATGGGCATACAGGGCTGGCTCGGAGTGAGCACACTTGAGTACCCCCAGAGCAAGCAACTTGCTCTGGGGGCACTTGGCAGCGCGGAAGGGGCCGGTAGAGCTGGCTGGGGACCCGAGCAGAGGAGGATCGGGGCTGTTCTGTGCAAAACCACTGCACAGAGCAGGTAAATATATATAATATGTTTGTTTTAATAATAGTAAGAAAAGTATCTTTACAACCACTTTAGAGGACTACTACATTAAAAATATTCTGGGGATTTAATAAAGCGTTAACATCACTTTTCTGGCTATACATGTGCCTAATTCAGGGAACTATTTTGTGCCACCTTCAGCAACATTACTTATGCATGTACCATATTTAGGTCATTCTAAGTAATGCCACTTTATTAACTTAAAATTCCAAAAACAACCTCCTGCGCTTAAATGGAATCCTATCCTTCAAAAGCTGCCGACACCAAACTTATACCCAAGTCAGTGAATGATCAATTAAAAATAAATAGTGTAGCGCTAATAATACTAACAATTACGTGTTACAATGCACAAACTCTATATACATCCCCTACATATATATATATCCAAGGTGATAAATCGATACATAAATAATAAAATAGTTGTGTCATACGTGAATTCCCTCACGGGGAATGTTTGTCACTTTTTTCACTAAATATTCCCCGTGAGGGAATTCACGTATGACACAACTATTTTATTATTTATGTATTGATTTATCACCTTGGATATATATATGTAGGGGATGTATATAGAGTTTGTGCATTGTAACACGTAATTGTTAGTATTATTAGCGCTACACTATTTATTTTTAATTGATCATTCACTTTATTAACTTGTTGTGGAAGCAAAAAAAAACGTAAAGATTTACCACCAGTTTGCAGATGAAGAAACTGGTGGTAATTAAAGATCAGCTTTGAGCTAGTGTGCACAGGTACAAAAGTGCTCAGGTTGGGGTATGTCTGTGCTGGAAAGTTGTCATGAATGTGACAGATTCTCTTTCTCAGGTCACATTCAGTTGTCAGCTGGCAGACTCCCCAGTAGAAAGCTAAATGTAAACAAAGGGACATGAGATATTGGTTCTGTCATTACCCACATATAGCAAACCCAGATTTGGGAAATGACTTAAGTCACTGAGTGGGTGGAGCCTGATGGGAAACAAGTTAACTATGTGGTCTGCCTTACTTTTCATTGACAGCAGAATGCAATTGGGGGATTTGTAAACAAATTTCAGTGCGGTGGCCCTATTGAATTCTAAAGGTTGGACATGTCGCCCTTTAATAATTCCCCCATTGTATTTTGATGAGCGCAGTGATAATGTTAAGTATATGAATTCCCTTTTTAAATTTCAAATGCCTTTATTTATATTTTTCTCCACATTTACATGCAAGCCAAACTGTCAAGCAAATTGACATGTTCTGGGACAGACTACCTAACACTGCTGGAGGTCAGCTTCCATGCTTCCAAAAAAAGAAAAAACAAATTGTTGCTGTAACTGTAAAAAGTCTTTGCTGGCATTGCACTTTACATTTTGTTAAAGTGTACCGGAAATCGGATATTTATCTGACTATCCTGACCATAGGGTGACAATGCTGCTATGTGATTTTACTGCAGATCCAACACTGTTGTCACCCTGTTAGAGTGGGGGGAAAAAATCTACTGGCAGTACAATAGTAATAAAACGGCTATAAGGGGCTCAGGAAAAAAAAACCTGGTGTGAATGCTAAAAGACAGACTGCAGACTATATGGTGCTTTTATACCCCATAGTTACACTTTAAAGATAATTTAGGTTGTTTGATGAATAAATAGATTAAAAAATTCTTTTTTGTGACTTGCAGTTCCAAGTTCCCTCATATATCTCTGAACGACTTAGTGAAGGAAACACTAAAACTTTTTTTAGTTTTCAATAGAGAGATAAGGGGTTAGAGCTATTGACAAGTTTTAATTGTTGGTGTGTCGCTGTTATGGAGGTTCAGCATCACTATATGGTGACCGTTCTCCCTTTGAAAGAAAGTGATGAAATCCAAAATATTAGATTTGTCTCCGGAAGAGAAAAGGTAGGATATTCTTGTTAGAAAATGTAGCTTTATCAGTTAACCACTTCCTGTCCGGACACTTTTACCCCCTTCCTGTCCAGGGCAATTTTCAGCTTTCAGCGCTATCACACTTTGAATGACAATTGCGCGGTCATGCAATACTGTACCCATATGAATTTTTTACCATTTTTTTGAGACAGATAAAGCTTTATTTTGGTGGTATTTATTCACCGCTGAGATTTTTATTTTTTTTACTATGTAAATGAAAAAGTCCAAAAATTTTGAAAAAAAGTTGTTTTTTTTAATAAAATTTTGCAAATAAATATTTCATCATAAATCTTGGCCAAAATTTATTCCGTTATTTTTTTAGTAAAAAAAAAAATCCAAATTAGTTTATAACCAAAAATTATAATTTTTAAACTTTTTTTTTACATTTTTATTTTATTTATTATTTTTTTTAATTTTTTTTTTGCATACTGTCACCCTAGCAGTACAGTGTCACCATGGTGACACTGTACTACTTGTGGGGGGTGATGAAGATTTTTTTTTTACACTGATTGCTTTTACACCCATTTAGGATGTAAAAGCAATAATTTCTCTTTCTCTCTGTCTGCATTCTTGCAGTCATTGAGAAGTACTGAGTGAGCTGTGATTGGTCACAGCTTGTCACATGGTACAAGGCTGTTGTGAATAGCCTTGTACCATGTGACCTCTGTGATCATTCACAGATTTCACACGTAGTAAGCAATGATGTCACAAGTGACATCTTGCTTACTACTTTGCATGTGATCACTGATTCGCCAATCAGTGATCACATGATTGGGACCTCGTACAGAGGTCCGTCCGACGATCGGTGTTTCACTGTGTCCTGAGGACACAGCGGGCACCGGATCGCGGTGCTGCGCGCTCCCAGGGAGCGCGCACAGCTAGAAAAGGCGGGTGCCGTTTATGAACGGTAACCCGCCCCTGAACTGCTACCGTCCTGCCGTTTATAAACAGCAGGCGGACGGCAAGAGGTTAACAACAGTCTTAGAGGAGTGTTTTTTCTCACTTTCTGTTGTGTTTCCAGGCCAGGAAATGAAGAGGAACCTTCTTGTCGTGACACAGACAGAAGGAAATAAAATGATGGGTTTTAACCTTTCCCTCTTCTAACCAAAACTGCAAAAAAAAGCTATGAATAAACTTTAAAGAGTTATGCAGGCCATAAACGGTTTGTTTATCGGACGATTTTTCTTCCGAAAGAATAATTGGCCGATTTTCGCACTTTTAGTGGGGCAATGGCATCGGCCGATTTTTCGCTTTTCCTCCTCATTTCTTTTATTGGTCATGCTGGAAAATCTTTGAAAAACGGCGGATATTCACAATCATTGGTGGCAACAGAACGACCGATGTTTCGTTTTTCGAACGAAAAATCAGCCAATAAACAAACCGTCTATGGCCTGCATTAGTTCAGATTTACAGACAAAATGTAAAGGTGAACTAACACTGGACACTCCCCCATCTCCCTGGTCTCTACTGTACTTACCTAAGCTGTCAGCACCCACCTTCAGCCACTCCTGTGAACTAGGGATTTCAGATCCCTGCTCTTCTCAGTCAACGTTTTCAGTCTGCGCTTTCAGGATGGACCAGATGAATTCTGGTCTATGCCGGTGCTGACCAATCAGAACCCATCTAGTCCATCTTGGAAGCGCAAACAGAGAAGCGAGAAAGGAGCAGGGATTTCAAATCCCTGGAGCAGCTGTGGGGGTGCTGATGGCTTGGCAGCCCTGAAGGTAAGTACAGCAGGGACTGGGGGTGTGTATGGGGTTTGGTGTTCACCTTTACATTTTTCTGTAAAGATGAACACTTTAAATGTAACATTTTTGCTGAAGTCTCTTTTTAAATGTGTAAATTCCTGAGCATGTATCGGTAACTTGAAAGTGAAGGGTCAAGCTTAGCCCTGGTTATTGTTTTTGTGCGCAGTATTTCTTTGTCTTGCTACTGCTACTACATTCATATTCTGGTTGTCTTTGTTTTACAGACAGAACCTTCAGAAACTTCCTCAGCTGTCTGCCATTCACCACAACAACTGCATGTACATAGCCCACCATCTAATAACACTCGGGCACCAGTTCCGCTATCATCTGCCTTCTCCGCTCAACGATGGAGCGGCTACATTTGTTGACATGGTACCTGGCTACAGACGACTAGGTGGGCATACTAATAGGACATGTATAGTGATTTCTGCTTAGATTATTACAGAATGTAAACGGATAGTCTGTTTTGTACATGTGTTTAAATGTCCTTTTCATTCATACATAGGCACAGAGACTTTTCTGGCACAGATGCGTACACAGAAGGAGGAGCTGCTTGACCGCTTATCAAATGCTAGATCTTTTAGCAATATGGAGGATGAAGACAATTACACCGCAGCCCATAAGGCAATACGACAGGTGAAAATGGACTTTCCTATTTTGGCATAAGGTTTCCTTTAAGAATGGTGGACCAAAAATAAACTGATACACTTTTAAAGTAGAGATCCAGGTTTACTAGCCCAGACAAACCTTTTACATTACTAACTGATATGGCCGCTGTCTGTACTGAATTATACTGTAGTAGCATCAGCTACAATACAGTAAGAGCATGGGCCACTTCTCGTCTGCTGTCAAAACTAAGTCGAGTCTGCTCTTCTGGCATTGAGAAGAAGCCTTGTATTTTTCGCAATGAATACAAGGCTTCTGATTGGCTGAGGTGGAGAAGTGGGAAGATAATGCTGCGATTTTCACCTCGGCCAATCAGAGGAACCTTTTATTCATTGCTAAAAATACAAGGCAGCTTCTGAATGGTGGAGAAGCATTCAAACAAACTTGATTTAGTTCCTTCAGCAGACGGGAAGTCGTCCGTACTTCTGATGGACTTAAAAAGACATACTGTATATAGCTGATGCTGCTACAGTATAGTAAGCACACTCAGAGGCCGCATTGGTTAGCAATTGAAATAGTTTATTGCAGTTCATACTTGCTCCACCTCCCAGTGAATTTCCTGAATTTTCTGTAGTGTCAGATTCCTGTCCCCTTGTTGCGCTCTGGATCCTCAGTGGTGGCATATGGGTCAGCAGATCGTACCAGTGACTAACCAGTGCAGCAGTGAATAACAATCCAACACACCCAAAATATTTGTTGAATGCTGAAGATTCTTCAAGAAGCTCTATTTCTTGACAAGTCAGATCAGCAATAGAAGGGGCAAGAATGAACTTTCTTCTTTGTGCAGGACTTTTTTTTTTTTTTTTACATTCTTTATTTACATTTTTCAGAAGGTACAGGCAAGGATGCAAGCAGGTCAGTACTGTACAGCAAATCAAGCAACAGTAACAAATAGGCAAGATCATGAACAATAATGAAAGAATCCAGTGTTCGGGTTGACATGATAGAAACGTCAAAAACACTGTGGCCATCTTGCATCCTGCCTGCATTATTGTATAAACAGAAACAAAAGTAGACCAACATCCTCACCCTCTCTAATAGGGGTCACCCCAAAAGAAACAATAGAACAGATGTGGGAAAAAAACGGGAAGAAAGGGAGGGGGAGTAGGGAAAGGGTAGGAGATAGGAAAAGTCTCAGTTCCCCTCAGCAAGAACCCTTTCATATTCCCGGGAGCACATGGACAGTATCCAGTGGAACCACCTCCTGTGAAATTTTTCCTCCTCACCATGCAAGGAGGCAGAGAGGCTTTCCATGGAATGTATGCTTGCAATTCTTAACAAGTATTGTGTGAGCTTAGGGGCGGGAAATCCTACTTCCATAGAGCCGGGATAAATGTTTTAGCAGCATTCAGCAAGTGGATCAGCATAGATTGTTTAAAATGCTGTTTTGGGGAGATCAATAGAAGAAGCAGGTACTTCTGTGTCAGTACAAACTACAACAAAGAAAAATTCCCAGCTCACTTACCAGCCAGCCTGCAACAAACTGAATTGTCCCGTTTAACAGTTCACGTAAAAAACATGGGTTTAGTTTGCACACATTTGCAAATACATGTGGAAGCTGCAGAAGCCACTTCATGGAACCCCCAGTATTATCTGCAGTCCTAACTCTTTACATTTTGAGAGCTTCTATAGTAGAAACACATAGTATAGCACATACAGTATATAATAATGGATAGATTGAGGGCAGGTATGCATAGAGGGGGCTCAGCCCTCCTTAAAGGCACAGGTGTGCACTGGACAGCAAGCATATAGCACAATGGCAGCAAAGGTGTCCAGTGCGCCCCTCACGAAATTTCCAACAATACAAATGGCAACTGCCCCGACCTACAATTGGCCTTTGCAGCTAGGAGCACATGGAAGGGCAATGCATGTCAAATAACAACGAAAAATTGCCAGCTGGGAATTTTTCTTGTTATTTGACATGCGTCGCCCTTCCATGTGCTCCTAGCTGCAAAGGCCAGTTATAGGTTGAGGCAGTTGCTGTTTGTTTGTACCATTGGTAATTTGGTGGGGTACTGGACACCTTTGCTGTCATTGTGTTGTATGTTGGCTGTCCAGTTTTCTTGTGCCTTTAAGGATGGGTGGGCTCCCTCCAGGCATACCTGCCCTCAATCTATCCATTATTATATACTGTATGTGCTCCTACTATGTAGGCTTTAAAAATTTTTTTATAGAAAAACAAACGAAACCAGCGCTCCAATCTTCATGCAAACCAAGGAATTGTCAAATGCCAACCGAAGAGGTGCTGCCCTTCTGAGATCGGGAAATCTGACCACTGATGAATAAAAACAAATAAGGGCGCACTCTCATCGTGCATTACCGTGGTATAACACGTAATTTATTAAATAGAAAGGATGTATACTCGCAAACCAACGTGATAATGGGCATTTCCATTTCTATTTTATAAATTACGTGTTATACCACGGTAATGCACGATGAGAGTGCGCCCTTGTTTGGGTTTTTTTTTTTTTTTTCAAAATTTATAGGTATGACTGCAGATAATACTGGAGTGCCTTGAAGTGGCTCTACAGCTTACACATGTTGTCGCAGACATGTGCTAACTAAAAACAACGTTTTTAACGTGAACTGTTAGACTTGGCTGTGTCTCTACCCAGGTCAAAGTCGGTGAGCTGATTATTATGGTCCTGCACCTGAGACCAGAAGCCATCTAGTTTTTTTTTACAAGTCCAGACTATATGAAGGATGATACTCTCCTCCTCCTCTTTACATTGCCAGCACATGTTCAAGGCATCGAGATGTATTTTTTCAGCAGCATAAGAACTTTATACCAGCGGGTAAGTACTTTATAGCCTAGTTGCTGGTATTTGCATGGCATGGAGGAGTAGTGAGCAAAGCACGTGTTCCTGGTGTTCTGGGGAAAGGTTAACGCCCAAGTTCCTCTCCCAGGACTTTTTGTTTTTGATATTTAAGCTAGCCAAACATTCGCTTTTAAGACCTTTAGAAACGATCAGTTCAAAGTACATGCAATCAAGCATGCTCTTGCACTGTATAGTTGTTGGCTAATCTAAAGGGGAATTGTTCTTTTAAAATTCCCTTTGATAGAAAATGTTCTAAGTTATTCAGTTAACATTTCATGCAACCTCCTTCCAGTTTTCTGAATCCACTTCATTGTACAGTATGAGTCAAAATACCTTTACATTTTTGTATAATTCTGTCTAAAACTTAGATTGTACAAGCAGGTCTTTACACGTGTCCAATTGAATCCATTTGCCTCCTTCTGTTGCAGTAGAGCCACTTTCATGTAGTCTAGTTCCTCACACTGTGTAATATTTTGTGTCTTTGCCCACCCTCTTGCGCTACACTGACAGTTTTCATGTCTACCCAGTGGTGACAGGCCTAAGAGGAGTGCTGGTACAAATTTTAGCAATATGTCTGACGGATCCATAATTCACAGGTTATCCATCAGCTGAGTCGCCTGGGAAAGGTGTGGCAGGATGTTCTTCCTGTGGGTTTATACTGCAAAGCTATGGGCACCTTGCTGAACACAGCCATCACAGAAATTATCAGCAAAATCACTGCTTTGCAGGTAAGCTAAAAATTATATTTTTTTCTTTTTACTCCAATTTCGATAGCTTTTCTTTCCATCTCTACTCTTCCTTCATCCATCCACTAATACACTTAAAGTGGAGCTCCAGGTTGTTTTTGTTGCTAATGGATTATAACACATACTAGGCTATATCTCCTCTGGACTTCCAATATCCAAAAATTATACCATTAGATGTCCCAACCAGTTAATGTGTCCTTTCAAAGAAATAGATGATGTTGCTCATTACCTATAGGAGCTCTATAATGTATAGTAAGCAATCTATTGGGAAGGGTCCAGCCTAAGGATACCTTTCATTTGAATATATAGGAACTTTTACACTATATTAATCCTATATAATAATGAAGGAACACACTGCTTTTTGAAAAATCTTACAAACTGAATTTCTAAGAAAGAGAAGGCATTAGCCAGTAATTAATACAAATAAAAATCCTCCCGCGCTTATGGAAGTGGCCTACAAAATAGCAGCCAGCACTTAAAACTGATACCTTAACAGTGTATAACAATATTTCCAAAAATTAGTGCAGCGCTCTTAGCCTACAATAATCCTCCCAAAAATATATATATAATAAAAAATATATATGAAGGTGTGTCTGTGTTTTCCACTGTAAGCACACTGCTTTGTATGGCTCTGCTATGCAGAGCCATACAAAGCAGTGTGCTAGAGCCGACAGGGGAGAGAACTGTATTGTGTTTTTTTTTTTTAATTTTATTTATTACAGGTGCTTATATAGCGCTGTCAATTTACGCAACGCTTTACATACATATATATTGTACATTCACATCAGTTCCTAACCCTCAAGGGGCATACAATCTAATCCCTAACTTACATTCATACATACTAGGAACAATTTAGACAGGATCCAATTAACCTACCAGCATGTCCTTGGAGTGTGGGAGGAAACAGGAGTACCCAGAGGAAACCCACGCATGCACAGGGAGAACATGCAAACTCCAGGCAGGTGGTGCCGTGGCTGGGATTTGAACCGATGACCCTAGTACTGCCAGGCGGGAGTGCTAACCATTTAGCCACTGTGCTGCCCACATACAGTTCTCTCCCTCGTCCGAAATACTCAGTCATCACCGGATGCTGGAGAGTAATCACAGGTCAGGACCTGGTGATTGACAGCCGAGGCCACGAATGGCAGTGCAGGTAGGGCTCACGCGCGCCCCCCTATCCGGTAATGCAAATTGACAAATGTACGTGATTTTGCGCACCCCTGCTGCCCTGCAGCAGTGTTTCTGCTATAAAGCGGAGGGAAAGCGGTTAATGCTGATCTCCGTGTAACCACACTTGTTGAATCTGCTGAGGGGGTTGAATTGCTAAACTGGGGAGGAGTTATTGTGATAAAGGTGCATGAGGAGGGAAATCAAATGTGAAATGGGTGGAAATTTATTCAGGCTTGCCTAACAAATTATTTGCTGAGAAATTTTGGTTCAAAGAGAAGTATGGCCAAAGGTTTTTTGAGCTTACTTCTCTTCTGGACCATAGAAGTGCACTTATTTCTGCACTCCTGTGAGCCAGATTTAGCTGACAGTGGGCTGGTGTCACAGAATCAGTCCAGGCTCTACCAGGATCCTGACTTTACTGTCCGGATCCCCACCAGATGCCTGAATGGTAGCGGGCTCAGACCCTCAGCACGCTACTAAGAGTCTGAGCCAGCTGCTTTCCTGCCATCCACAGCCCTGAGCTCCAGTAAGAACTGGAGGGAGAGAGCAGTGTCCGACAGTCACTGGCTCAATGAAGACCGAGAACTGAGCGATCAGCGGAGTACAGCTGCATTATCAGACCAATGCTGCAGCCATATTGCTGAGTATGTGTGTTTTTGATTTCTCACATTTTCTCATTTTAAAGGTTGAAAGTATCCTTTAATATCCATTTCTTTGGATCCCATGCCCATACTGCTTACAAGGGCTCCTCATGTATCTGATTGAAGGTAGCACAAGGTGCAGACAATTTAGCACAAGCTGCCTCCTGCACTTCAGAACTGTTAATCTTTTTTAATTTATTTTTTTATCTTTTTTTTTTTTTTAGGCTTAAACTATTAAATCAAAGGTGTATCTTTAGGCAAAACCTTTTTAGTTTACATTTTATTAGAGTGGAAATAGTTAGACCCTCTGTCTAACTATTTAGTCTGTCTAGAGCCCATCTGAGGAGATTCGGTCCTCTGTTTGTCCTGATGTTCATTGTCATTGGGAAGAAAGTGAGAGGAAGTCCCAAATGTTATGGTTTTCACCAAAGATAAGCGGAAATCTAGGGACAGGTAACAGAAGAATGCCCCTCACTTTGAGTAATTTCCTTTGACTTCTTTTTGTGTTTCGGGGACAGGAAGTAAAGGGAAATTTCCACAATGGCACGCAGGCAGCAAAAATGAAATAACCCAGAAGGGGGTTTACCTCTTCCCTACTTTTATCCAAAATACTTTAGGCTGAACTCTGGGACAAGCTAAAATCTCCACTGCAAGGGTTAAATGCTTATTTACTGTAGATCTAGGGCAGGGGTCTCCAAAAATTCTAAACAAAGGGTCACTTTACCGTCCTTCAAACTTTAGGGGGGTCAAACTGTGGCCAGTGTCCCATCGTTGGTGTCAGTGAGAGGAATAGTGCCTCATCATTGGTGTCAGTGGGAGGAATAGTGCCCCATCATTGGTGTCAGTGAGAGGAATGGTTCCCCATCATTTGTGTCAGTAGGATGACTAGTATCCCATCATTGGTGTCAGTGAGAGGAATAGTGTTCCATCATTGGTGTCAGTGGGAGGAATAGTGCGCCATCGTTGGTGTCAGTGAGAGGAATGGTTCCCCATAATTTGTGTTAGTGAGAGAAATAGTGCCTCATCGTTGGTGTTCGTGGGTGAAATAGTGCCTCATCATTGGTGTCAGTGGGAGGTCTAGTGTCACATTGTCAGTGTCTGTGGCAGGAACTATGCTCCACTGTTTCTGACAGTGAGGAGAATAATGCCCCAAGGGCATAATAAAAGCAAGCAAAGGGCCACATCCAGCTCCCTGGCCACAGTTTGGTCTAGGGGAAAAAGCAAAGCAGTTTTATTTTCCCAATCCTTAGCTCCTTCAAGGGCCTCTGTGCTGCAATACCGGTCCCTACAGCCTCATCTCACCTATGCTTTAGTGGTCTGATGTTCTCTGACTACATTGGCCTGTATTGGACATGAGGGTGCCCAGAACAGACCACTACTGGAGATGGGGAAGCTCTCTTTGCTAGTAGAGCTGAGGATCGGGTAAGTAAAACTGCTTGTCCCGTCCCCTAGACATAAAATGGACAGTTAACCCTTGCAGCGTGAAGGCAGCCCCATTGGAAGGAAGAGTTGGGTTGTGTACCATGCCAATGCTTTTTCAAATACAGTCTCAACTCTATTTTCTTTACACAGCTTACTTCACATATGTAGTCCGGTTGATAGGGGGGTCGATGTCCTTTAGATTGCTACTTTGTACATGGGTTTAATGGCTACGTCTATGGGGGTTGGTAGTGGGTCGGTGTGGTTACTGGGTTTAATGTCTATGTCCCTTTACATTGCTACTTTGTACATGGGTTTAATGGCTATGTCTATGGGGGTTGGTAGTGGGTCGGTGTGCTTTACTTTGTACATGGGTTTAATGGCTACGTCTATGGGGGTTGGTAGTGGGTCGTTGTCCTTTACATTGCTACTTTGTACATGGGTTTAATGGCTACGTCTATGGGGGTTGGTAGTGGGTCGTTGTCCTTTACATTGCTACTTTGTACATGGGTTTAATGGCTACGTCTATGGGGGTTGGTAGTGGGTCGGTGTGCTTTACTTTGTTACTTTGTACATGGTTTTATTGGCTATATCTCTGGGTGGCCACCATGTTTTTTCATTCTTTGGTAGATCTTGGGAAGACAGTTGCCCATTATCATGATAGACACAAGCTTTGCAGCATATGTCTTTGAACACCCCAATATAGGAGGACAAAATGCTCATTACCCAGCTATAAATAGCCACACAACTGAAACATTATGAATCCGAGTTGATTTAGTTCATAATTCTTGCTTATAACTGGATGCTTTCCACGCACAGTTATCACTCCATATAATCTTGAGGTTTGAGCATGAATAGAAAATAATGACTGCCTGCCCATGCATATGTCATTATAATTATTTCCAAGTACTGGGTCATCAGAAGCGAGTTTCCACTTCTCATTACTGAAATGTTATTGCTCTGCTCATTCTTGTGAAAAGCTGTCATAAGTGAGTGACGTTGTACATGAATATAGTGGGAGATGTTCCTGAAATGCGAGCAGCCTAGAAACGTACACTTAGTTTTTTTCCTGGACTTTTTCTGATGTCTCTATATTATTTATAGCACTCAGTAGCAAAACTTGTTCAAATTTTGTGAAGAAAATAATTAGCAAAATCGCTCATTTTATGTCTGCATTTTTTATGTCACGTAATATGTACTGCAGGAAAACTCACACATTTTATAACATGAAAATGTATTTCAAGCAGAAATCTCATTCTCTCCTATGTGGCTGATTTTCATCTATAAACAGCTGTTTCATCTGGTTTGGAAAGGGAACTATGGGCCTCTTTCACTCCTTCTGCAAACTTTGCTTTTTATCTGTTCAGCCTATAGTTAAAGCTGAACTCCAGATATGATCAGTAGTGAACACCAGTGTAAGTATACATATTTCATACTTCTGGGGCAGTTGACAGTCACTGTGATAGTCCAGTGCTACTACAGTGATCGCCCCTATCTTCTGGGTCCCACTGCGCACTGACCACAGGGGGTCACTCACTGCCACAACTCACAGAACGTCTTTGTATATTTTTCAATGAATACAAAGTGTTTTCTGGTTGGACTAGGTGGAGATTGTGACATCACCGCCTCTCCTCTCCCAGCTTTCCACCTTGTCAGAGAAAACACACACAAAAAAAAAAAAAAATTCAAGGCATTCTTAGTGGAAGCAGAATGCTTTAACCTTCCTGTTCAGTATCTGGTGGTAAAGTAAATACCCATTACGTCTGCACATGACTTCAGGCCAATCAGCAATGCCACACGCATAGTCCATAGCTATCTCTCAGCTACAGTTTCAGCAACTTGCAGATTCCACAGGACTTTTGTTTGCTCCTGTCGGCTGAACAGAGCAGCGGGGCAGTAAAAGGAAGGGAAGTATGTATATTAAAATGAACCTGTTGCTTTTCCCTGCATGGGCAAAGAATGGGTTCACTCGGTGCACCAGTCCACGTCACTCTCTTCTTTTTTTAGGGATTCTATGATCTGGGAACCTTTTACTTACCTGTCTACAAAGTAGGAGAGAGCTTTCCAAACACATTCTTGGCACGCTGTCTCATATACAGAAAGCATATATTAAAGGGTCAGTACTAAGGGGTTTCTCGGAGCCACCAGCCAGATTCAGAGGAGCAGTGGAAGTTTGAATTTAATTGGGAATACAGAATTTACATAGAAGATTTTCAGAGAGTAGATCTACCCACCAGAGGTGTTGTCATTAGAGCATTGTGTAGGCTGCCATTGCTGACCCTTTCCTTTCTGGTACAATAATTTTTGTTGCAGCAAAGATAAAATGTACAGTAGATCACCAAAGCAGGGGAAATTCAATAAGAATTGCATTAAGTAAGCATGAGCAAAATGGTGCGCAACAAATATTTTACTTTAAGTTTGCTGGTGGGCGACAGCACAAACGAGTTCGTTGGTCTACACGTGGTCCCTATGCCCGAGGGTCCAGGGATATACCAAGATGACCCTTCCTTTTCAAGAGTGTTTGTTCTTTGCCAATCATTTTGATTCTTAAGTAGTTCTAAAGGCAGAGCATTTACAGCTTAATGAATTCCCTGCATTAGGGTAAAAAATGTCACAGTAGTAGTGTTGCCCCCTTATCCCTCTGTTTACTTACCTGAGCCCTGTCTTGGTCCAGCGCCTTGCCTGTCTGCAGCAGCGCTAACCTCTGTTACTTTCCTCACAGGACACAAAGGCAGTGGAAGGAGCCATTGGCTCCTGCAGCTGTCAATCATATCCTGTTTGAAGGGGGCAGGGCCTAGACACTGTGTGTGTGTGTGTCTATGGATGCAAACATTGTTGAAAGCAAACACAGCCAGGTAACGAGCATTTTGTTAGGTCATAGATTGCATCCCATATACTTTACTTTCAAAAGGTTTATGTAAATTCATGTCTAGTGGAGCTAGATTCCGCAGTACAGACACATTGTTGTCTGACGTTTCATTATTGTGTCAGAATCCAGTTGTTCGGAATTGTTTTTTCCTTTCTGCCAGGTCCTGCCCACTGTGTAGTGACTGATGCAGGAAGCAATATCGCCACTTCACACATGGGCAGGAACTGTATGAATGGGGCTTCCTTTTTGTAGTAGATGAGAAGAAAAGTCCTTACTCCACCTCGTAGGTGGTCAGTGACCGATACACGATAGAGATGCTTCGGGGTCAGTGCAAACCTATCTATTTTTTGCTTATAAAGCCACAGTGACTCTGCACAGAGATGTGTTGACATTTTTGTTTTTAAATACTTGAGCTCTGGAAGGTTTCACCCCCCAAAAAAGGCATTTTTTTCTATGCAGCACTGCACTACTTTTAACTGGCAAATGTGTGGTCTTGCAACACTGTGCCCAAATGAAATTTAGATAATTCTTTTGCACACAAATAAAGCCTTTTTTGGCCATATTAGATCACCACTAGTTTTTTTTTTATTTTTTATTATATAAAATGAAAAAAAAGAACAGAAATTTGAGACAATAAATAATATTTTCTACTATCTGTTATAAAACCTATCCAATAAAATTTTTTTTTAAAAAATCCAATTTCTTCATAAATTTAGGCCAAAACGTATTCTGCATGTCTTAGGTGGTAAAAAAAATTCCAACAGGTGTTGTATTTTTCTGGTGTGATAGGACATCTCCACTGAAGATGGAGAACGACTGTATGCTCTGTGCCGGACCATGGTGGAGGAGGGACCCCTTGTGTTTACACCGCTTCCTGAAGAAGGCAAAAACAAGAAGTTTCAGGAGGAAGTACCAGTCTATGTACAGAAGTGGATGAAATTCAAAGAGCTTATGATCATCCTGCAAGCCAACCTGCAGGAGATCATTGATCGGTAGGTGTCAGGTTTCCTTTCTGAGAAAAAAGAAATGAGATTAGGCAATCCATATTACACCTAATGCTGCTTCAAACATCTCCTCCTTTAATATGTTCATTGGTAGGGACTATAAGTAATAATCTTTGTCCTGCACTATATCTTCAAGGGGCAGATACCTTATAGAAAGTGCTGTAAAAATAGAAATTTCTTTGGTTTAGCTAAGCTTTTAGTTTCAATAGGTTTTAAAGTGTTTCCTTTAAAACCATTGTTTAGTTCTCCCCTCCGCCCCCCCATCCCCACAGCTGAAATAGTCATTTTCCATTGATAAATCTTCTTTAGCATGCCAATGAGCTAGAATTTTGAAAAGTACATTAGCAATGGCAGACTCTGTATTTTTCTCCAACCATCTGCCCTCTAAAGCAAAGCATATCAAGGAATACACTGTAAACCCAGGACCCTGCATTCACTATATCTGGTCTCTCCCCGGACCCTGCATTCACTATATCTGGTCTCCCCGGACCCTGCATTCACTATATCTGGTCTCCCCGGACCCTGCATTCACTATATCTGGTCTCTCCGGACCCTGCATTCACTATATCTGGTCTCTCCGGACCCTGCATTCACTATAGCTGGTCTCCCGGACCCTGCATTCACTATATGTGGTCTCCCTGGACCCTGCATTCACTATATCTGGTCTCCCCGGACCCTGCATTCACTATATCTGGTCTCTCCGGACCCTGCATTCTCTATATCTGGTCCCAGCACTCACTATAACTGGTCCCCCGGACCCTGCATTCACTATATCTGGTCTCCCTGGACCCTGCATTCACTATATCTGGTCTCCCCGGACCCTGCATTCACTATAACTGGTCCCCCGGACCCTGCATTCACTATATCTGGTTTCCCTGGACCCTGCATTCACTATATCTGGTCTCCCTGGACCCTGCATTCACTATATCTGGTCTCCCTGGACCCTGCATTCACTATATCTGGTCTCCCTGGACCCTGCATTCACTATATCTGGTCTCTCCGGACCCTGCATTCACTATATCTGGTCTCTCCGGACCCTGCATTCACTATAACTGGTCTCTCCAGGCCCTCACTGATTCACTATATCTGGTCTCCCCATCGGGCCCTGCATTCACTATATCTGGTCTTCCAGACCCTGCATTGACTATTTCTGGTCTCCCCAAACCCTGCATTGACTTTATCTGGTCTCCCCGGACCCTGCATTCACTATATCTGGTCTCCCCGGGAGGAATAGTGCCCTGCATTCACTATATCTGGTCTCCCGGACCCTGCATTCACATTGGTATCATTGGTAGTCCCTGGACCCAGCATTCACTATAACTCAGTGATTAGTGCTCCATCTTCCTGGGAGGATGCCCCATCGACCCCTTAATACAGTTCCTCATCATTGTGGTGGGACCCCCAACCATAAAGTGCCCCATTTTAGTTGCTACTTCATAACTAGTGCCCCAATCATTTGCAGTGGGAGGAATAGTGCCCCATCACTGATGTCAGTGGGATGAATAGTGCCCCATCATTGGTGTCAGTGGGAGGAATAGTGCCCAATCATTGGCGTCAGTGGGAGGAATAGTGCCCCATCGTGGGTGTCAGTGGGAGGAATAGTGCCCCATCGTGGGTGTCAGTGGAAGGAATAGTGCCCCATCATGGGTGTCAGTGGGAGGAATAGTGCCCCATCATTGGTGTCAGTGGGAGGAATAGTGCCCCATCATTGGTGTCAGTGGGAGGAATAGTGCCCCATCATTGGTGTCAGTGGGAGGAATAGTGCCCCATTATGGGTGTCAGTGGGAGGAATAGTGCCCCATCATTGGTATCAGTGGGAGGAATAGTGTACAATCATTGGCATCAGTGGGAGGAATAGTGCCCATCATTGGCGTCAGTGGGAGGAATAGTGCCCCATCATTGGTGTTAGTGGGAGGAATAGTGTACAATCATTGGCATCAGTGGGAGGAATAGTGCCCAATCATTGGCGTCAGTGAGAGGAATAGTGCTCCATCATTGGTGTCAGTGGGAGGAATAGTGCCCATTCATTGGCGTCAGTGGGAGGAATAGTGCCCCATTGTGGGTGTCAGTGGGAGGAATAGTGCCCCATCATTGGTGTCAGTGGGAGGAATAGTGCCCCATCATTGGTGTCAGTGGGAGGAATAGTGCCCCATCATGGGTGTCAGTGGGAGGAATAGTGCCCCATCGTTGGTGTCAGTGGGAGGAATAGTGCCTCATCGTTGGTGTCAGTGGGAGGAATAGTGCCCCATCGTTGAGGTCAGTGGGGGGAGGAATAGTGCCCCATCGTTGGTGTCGTTGGTGTCAGTGGGGGGAGGAATAGTGCCCCATCGTTGGTGTCAGTGGGGGGAGGAATAGTGCCCCATCGTTGGTGTCAGTGGGGGGAGGAATAGTGCCCCATCGTTGGTGTCAGTGGGGGGAGGAATAGTGCCCATCGTTGGTATTAATGACACAAATGATGGGGCACTATCCCTTCCACTGACACCAATGATACTTACCTTGCTGACTCCTGCTCCAGCCTGGGCTCGCTCTCTCCCTCTCCCATCTACAGCCTGCATACCTGGCTGCAGCAGCAAAATTTGCACTTACCTGTCAGCTGTCTTCCTTCTCTGGCCGCTCTCCTCTTCACTCGTTCCTGCAGCTCCCTCGATCTTCTTCGATCTCCGCGTGCTGCCGCTCGGCTCCTCCTCCAAGCTCCACCTCCTCACCGGTGATTGGCCGCCTGTGTGCCTCTCCTGAGCTACAGTTCCGGTGGCCAATCAGCGGCGAGGAGGCGGAGCTGTTGAGTGATCCCGGGGGTTGTGGCCAGGTTACAGGGGCAGCATATCATCCCGCCCACAGATCGCCTGAGACAGGAGCGGTGTCTCGGTTCCTAAGACCATCGGAAATATGTGTTTTCCGATGGTCTTAGGCGACCCTGTGAAATGGTCGTTCGACCCCCAAAGGGGTCGCGACCCCAGGTTGAGAACCGCTGCTATAAATATCTGGTCCCCCGGACCCTCGGACCCTCCATTCACTATATCTGGTCTCCCCGGACCCTGCATTCACTATATCTGGTTTCCCCGGACCCTGCCCTGCATTCACTATTTAACTGGTCTCTCCGGACCCTGCATTCACTATATCTGGTCTCTCCGGACCCTGCATTCACTATATCTGGTCTCCCCGGACCCTGCATTCACTATATCTGGTCTCTCTGCATTCACTATATCTGGTCCCTGCATTCTATATCTGGTACCCTGCATTCACTATATCTGGTCTCCCCGGACCCAGCATTCACTATAACTGGTCCCCTCGGACCCTGCATTCACTATATCTGGTCTCCCCGGACCCTGCATTCACTATATCTGGTCTCCCTCCCGGACCCTGCATTCACTATATCTGGTCTCCCACAGTACACAGTACATGGAAATGCAATTATTTTAGTAAATATAAACTGCTAAATACCTTTTCTCATCAGCAGTATATAGCAGTCTTTTGACTTCTATCAGTTTCCAGCCGAGCACTGGTTAAAGCTTGTCAGAGGAGTTTTCATTCACCTCACCCTGCCCTATGAGATTGCATAACCCATGACCCTCTGTCTGGACAGTGCTGATTTGGCCCTGTGCTGATCACATGCACCCTCCCAAGAAAAAAGAAAAAAACTTTAAGTAAACACACACCAAACTGAGCATGTGCAGTGTGTCCCCGAGGCTGTGTTCTTTCAGGAGATGAAATAGGGAACATGGAAGAAGTGGAGGATCAGAGAAGACAGGATCAAACATCCTTTTTACACAAAGCAGAGGATTAACCCCTTATGTTCCACAGTGAGTAGAAGAAGCATGCTTTACTGCAGGGGTGTCAAACTAGTGGCCCTCAAGCTTTTGGAAAACTACAAGTCCCATCATGCCTCTGCCTTTGGAATTCATGCTTGTAACTGTCAATCTTGCAATGCCTCATGGGACTTGTAGTTTGGCAACAGCTGGAGAGCTATCAGTTTGACACCTGTGCTTTACTGTATATACAGAGTGATTGTAGAAGAGATCTTGAACTCTCTGCAGAGATTTCCTTTGTCAGTTTTTTTTTTTTTTTTTTGCTGTCTGTGTCTGTTAAGTGCAATAATGCTCAGTTATGTAGTCACTAGGAAGTGAAAGGAAATTTCCCCACTGAGACAGGACATCAAAATAAGTCTGATGAGGTTGTAACCTTTTGTCCATACTATCAAAAATTGTTTTGGAGCTGGGCTGTGCAGGCAGACAGAATTAGAATACACCTTTTTGCTCTTTCTGCACTGCTAATTTATTATTATTATTATACAGTATTTATAAAGCGCCAATAGTTCGCTCAGCGCTGTACATTACAAAGGGGGACAGAACAATACAGAACAATACCAATACAATGCAAAACATGAGGGGATCGAGGGCTCTTTCGAGCTTACAGTCTAGGAGGGAGGGGATGGTGGCGCAGGAGGAGATAGCTGTGGGGGGGGAATGGAGTGGTGGGAAGAGTGGAGGAGGTCAGTCAAGTTAGCAGGGGGTGGGGTAGGCTTCCCTGAAGAGATGGGTTTTCAGGGTGCGCCTAAAGGAGAGGAGAGTAGGTGATAATCTGATGGGTTGGGGCAGGGAGTTCCAGAGGATGGGTGACACCCTGGAGAAGTCCTGGAGGTGGGCATGGGAGGAGGAGACCAGGGAACTAGAGAAGGAGGTCTTGTGAGGAGCGGAGTGTGCGTGTTGGGCGGTACTTGGATATTAGGTCAGTGATGTAGTTTGGGGCAGTATGGTGGATGGCTTTGTACATCAGTGTTAGGATTTTGAATTTGGTCCGTTGCGCAATCGGAGGCCAGTGGAGGGATTGGCAGAGGGGGGTGGCGGAGATGGAGCGGTTGGAAAGGTGAATGAGTCTGGCAGCCGTATTCAGGATCGACTGAAGCAGGGATAGCCAGCGGCAAGGCAGGCCAGTGAGGAGGGAGTTGCAGTAGTTGATTTGTGATATGATGAGGGAGTGGATGAGCTGTTTAGTGGTTTCTGGGGTTAGGAACGTGCGGATTTTGGCGATGTTGCGGAGGTGGAGTCTGCACGAGTTTGCTAAAGATTGGACTTGGGGCTGGAGGGATAGGTTGGAGTCCAGAATGACACCAAGTACTCTGGCCTGCGGGGCGGGTTTGATGGTGGCGTTGTTGGATGTGACGGAGAAGTCAATGGGGGGTGGTGTCCGGGCTGGGGGGAGACAAGAAACTCGGATTTTGGAGATTATATATTAGATATAATTATATTTTATCTGCAATTGTGTGCTGATAATGCTTTGCTCTGCAGGATAGCTTGAAGTCACTTTGTGCTTTTCTTTCCCAATCTTCAGGTGGGCCGATGGTAAAGGACCCCTTGCTACAGAGTTCTCCACCAATGAAGTAAAGAGTTTGATCAGAGCTCTCTTCCAGAACACAGAGAGAAGAGCAGCAGCTTTAGCCAGAATTAAATAATTTGGATGCCTTGTATTCGATCTGTAATATTATGTACATACTTCACTGTGAGAACGTTATTAAATACATTCTTAAGAAAGCTTCTGTTCTCTTCTGGTGGGATTTGATTCATGTATTTATATTTTAATAATTACATATATGTTTAAACTTTGTATGCGTTTTCTTCTTTTTATGGCTATATGTTTTTTTTTTTTTTTAAATTAAAAATTTAGTACATGCCAAGAAATTCCTAGAGCTTTATGGGTTACCAACAGCCCAGCAATACATAATACATATGTCCTTTCATAATTGCCATCTTAATTTTTTTATTTTCATTAGGGATGCGCCATCGGTGCCAATACCGAGTATTTTCTTGAGTGCTCATTAAAATCCTCCCAATGCCTGAACCGATACTTTTCGGTGTGATTTGTGTTTAATGGATGAAAATTGCACCGCACAGATTACATGGAACGGTGTTGGCGCAAAGAATGTCCTCTGGTTAGTCCATAGCAGGGGCAGACTGACAACTCATGGGGCCCCCGGGCAATAGGGGATCATGGGGCCCCTGTGTCCTTGCCCAAACTCAATAAAGCCTATGAAAAAGGTACTAGGGGCATCTTATGGGGCCCCCTACTGACCCTGGGCCCTCGGGCAGTGGCCAAGTTTCCAAATTGTCAGTCCGCCCCTGGTCCATAGTCCCAGTTTGGTAGAAAAGAAGAAGGGATGGAGGGGGAAGCTGGAAGAGAAACCCACTGCTGAGTCTGACAGAGGATTCTCAGTGCTTCTAGAGCAGTGCATACTTCAGAAACTTGAGAAAGGATCACTGCCCCGTAGCTGGTGCGTATGCTCTAAAATGTCATTGTTTCACTTCCGGTCACGTCACAGGGAACACTGCGGTCCACCTGCTTTCCACTTCATCTTGCGGAGCTCATCCAGCTTCCTTCCTTGCTACAGCCTGACCTGGACTCAGCTTTTGCAGCCCCAAAGCCTGATCTAGATCCAGCTTCTGCATGATTTACATCCGCAGTGTGTCCACATCCACCCTGGAAGATAGCCATATATCATAGATGTGCCTGTGTATGTCTCCCAAAATGTGAATGCATTGTCAAGCAATTTTTAATAACGTGTTTTACAGTCTACACTCAGTAGCGCCTCCTGCACCTTTCTTTTTACACCGCAAAGATTCGCATTCAATTTGTACAGGAATGCGATTCCTGTATAAATCACATTGGGTTTCCCTACTGCTGCTGTGTGAACCCAGGCATGGCATAGCAAGAGTTCACATAGGAGCGGTGCGGGAAAACTACCTGCATGTATCCCATGCCGAGTGTCAGTGACAGGAGAGAAGAGAAAGTGGCGGGGATTTGAAATCCTTGCTGCTTTCTTTCCTCTCCTTGCAGTGATGACAGTTCAGGCTAGAAGGCATCTGATTGGCCAGCCCATGCACATCCATACTATTCTTTTGCGATGCAATTTGCGTCTATTAATGCAGATTGCACCGCAATGCAGTGTCGGCGAGTACTTGACCGAAAGTATGGGTACTCGTTGATAAAACCGGGGTCGGTGCATCCCTAATTTTTATTTGAGCTTGGACTTCAGTGTTGGTGTTATGGTCTCATTTTTGGGGTTATCATATATATTGGTGTCTCTTCTAGCTAGAGAAAAGATTAATGAAAAGGTTTTAGGTAGGGTAGAGTTAAAAAAGTATTCCAGCTTAAACCTGACTAGCCTTGAAAATGTCCCTTTCCCCCCTCCTAACACCTTTGCTGTCTAACCTGTTTTAAACAAAAAATAAAAGTATATACTTGCCTATTTCTCTAATCATCTTCCAGTACGGCAAACCTGATTGGCTCTTCCCTGACAGGGGAAACAAGTGCTTAATTATCCCCACCCTCTCCTTCATCCCTCATATTAGATTGTGTTTCTTGCCACAGGACTGAACATTGTTTAATGTATTTTTTTTTTTCATCTGAGGGCTGTTGGGCAGGAAGGTCCCCTTCTGAGGTGAAGCTGTGCAAACTGTGCTAGTGGAGCTGCTTCAGAGGAGACTCGGTGTGTTGCCCCTTTTTCTTGTATTGCGGGATCCTAGGACCTATCGATAGTGATGGTCTGACTCCTGAGGTACTTCTAGATGCTGTTTTTCCTGGCTCCCAGGGTGGAAGGGGGAGCTCTCGGATGGCTATGTGCTCATGGCTGACTTGGGTAACAATTGGTAATCGGTTGTCCCCTGGCTGCATCTGACAACTTCTGGTCCTAAAAGGTGCAAGAACAGAAGTGGAGTGTGTTCCAGGCCTCGATTTGGGCAGGGTCTGGGATTGGACACTTTACAGAAACAATGCCTGGTAGCTGAAATGGAGGCTAGGGTAGTCGACCAGGTGGGGAAGACAGCATTTATTGGCAGTAGATGAGCACCGTTGGGTCCATGGCTGAAGTGGCTAATGGCTCTTGGCAAGTGTGTACACAGCAGTCTGAGGTGATTCAGACTTATGGATACTGAGGATAGAAAAGTGGTACCTATGAGTATAGCAAAACTGAAGACTACAGGGGGTGAGTCTCTTTTTTTTGGATTGGGATGGTGGCCTGAGGTAGCAGAGTCCCTTACACACAGTTGATTGGTTGAGTCTGGATATTGTTCCAAAGGTCTGGGGATTACATCCTGTTTGTTTTTTTTTTCGTTTTTTTTTGTCTTTCTAGAATCTTCATCTACAGAAAAGATGGCCCAGGCTGCTGCTGTTAAACCCCCCCTCCTCTCCAGTTACCTCTCGTATTAGGTATTGCTGTTGTGGTTACTGTGCATCCACACTCTGGCTGGGAAAGAAACCTCAGGCCTCATGAAGGATTTCATATCCACTATGCAGTCCAAAATGGTGGCCAACTTTCAATACTTTAGAGTGGCATTATTCACTGCCTAGGTATCTCCCCTACAGGGCACTAGGTCAACTCAGGAGGAATACTCTTTCCAGGCAGATCTCAATGCCCATGAGGGTCCTTCTTCAGTCATTCTTTTTTCTCGGGTTCCAAACGAACATAGCTCACTGGAAGGAGCTTGACATAAAAAGTGAGGTATTGAAACAAACCAGACACTTGTTTGCTCTAGTAGACATGGAAAGTCTTTTATCCTACAGAGATCATAGATTTCTGATGCACCTAAGGAGCTTTCTCTACACAGGATAGAATGTATACAGAGGCTTAGTAAAACTGCAGGCCAGTGTCCTTCTGTTTCGTCAGACCCTTATGGATTTAGTCTTGAAAGAGTAGAAGGAGCTGGAAAAAGAGTTTTTAAGCTCAAGGTCTGAAAAAGATGATTTCCTTTTTAAGGGGGATAATGAAGAAAACATCTCTAAAATGATTCCATGCAGCCTTATCCCGGGTATCTTAAAATTTTGGACCTTTCCTTCAAGGACTCGGGAATTATTAAGGATCAAATGGATCATAAAACTGAGGACAGAAACTGTTCCGCCATGGTTCCCACCTTATCGGTCACTCTGTGGGGAAGAACATGGGTTTCTAGTTGGAAAGGGTGGCTGGGCATTTGCCCCTAGCAGCTCTGGCAGAGAAGCTGTTAGACTCTGTCAATATTTGGAAAATCAGCCAGTTATTTAAGCTGCTTATGGCAGTATCTCTACTAGCCAATGCTCATGTGAGTTCCAGGAGGAACATTTATGAGGGTGCTAGGTCTCATGAAGGCAACCATCCCAACAGTTCCTTAGGCCTAATTGCACTTGAGAGAATTTAATTTTTTTTACTCTCCAACTGGAGCAGGAAGAGGGACTCACTGGATACAATAATCCATCTTCCTTCTGAAAAGGCCTCACCGGCCTGGTGGGTGAATCCGCTGAGGTTGGTAGAGGGCAGGCCTAGGGCAGTGAGAACCAGTGAAAGTGCCCACACAGGCCAGGGTCTACTGTAAGTGTGGGGCTATTTCACTTGTTTGACTGTGTTTTCTATCAGGGCAGAGCCAATCATTTCTCAGGTTTGTCATCCTAGAAGATTCCCAAAAACTGTTACTTCTTTTCCCATAGTTCTTTAAGATTCTGTACAGCCTGGAGGATAATAATAGTTGAACTGTCTTTAATCCTGAGAAGTTTCCTCATTCCTTAACACTTTATAGCTTTAGTTAATGGAGGATTACAATGTCTTTCAGAGCATTCAGTCCAGTAACTGCTTTCTGAACACTCGGATAGCTTGCTTGTCCAATAAAACCAGAGCGATTAAGATGCTCTTGATTGCACAAACTTTTATAAGAGGTTTTTATTGCTTCATTCAATTATTCAATTCTCACTTCAGATAGCTGCAGGTCTGCTGAAAACGACAATTACTTTGCCCATAATCCTATTTTGCACAGATAAAGCAGAATAGTTCCCTGAAGTTCTCGAAGGTACATGGTTCCTAAAACCTCATTTATTATATGTATTTGTCAGTTACTGAAAATTTTGAGAGCTGCCATAATGTTTGCTTGGCTGAGATGAAGGTGAAGTATCCTCCACATCATTTGCCCAGGCTTCATGAAAAATTAGCTTGCGATCTACATGGACAGTTTTAATATTGCTAATAAAATAGCATTGAATGCACCATATAATTTTATGAAATTGCTGTCTAATGCACAAATGATCAATAAATTATTGCTAGCAGGGAATAAAATAAAAACTGACAGACAAATATGGAGTTGTATATGAGGTGAGTTTAAGTCCATGTAGGTAAAGGTTAACTTTTGAATTCTGTGCAAGGATTCAAGGATAGTAAAGCAGACCTGGAATCAAAATGCAAACCTCTTGTAGACTCTCATGCCTTGTGTCAAACAAAACAAAGTACGCTAAAATAAACCGTAAAGAGAAAAGGAAAATAATCCGTCTGGCCACTTCCTAGTTGCCCTTATGACTGGGCCTGCTGTAGAAGACGTGGATGCAAAATCCTGAGAGAAAAATCTCTAGCACTGTGCAGAAGTGTCTTTTCTCAAGTTTGGAATATTTTGCACCCTCACTAGGCGTAGGCAGGCTCCCTAAAAGACTGAAGTCCATGGT